CTCCAAGGCCAGCAAACAACTTCTTCGATAAAGATAGCCCTTTTCCTGAGAAGGCCAGCTCTTTGCATAGTGTCTTTTTGCCTGCTCACATGAAGTTATCACATCCACGTGTATCTGGGCACTTACCTTCACTTAGCCACTAATTCAAAGGATGAAGAGGTTCCTCCCTCTAACCTGAGCAACTCCTTCAAAGGCAGAGAAGCTCAGGGTGGGCTGACAAATGAAACCACTCGGGCAGAGAATGGGTGAGCAAAACCACTTACGTGCAACTGCTTACTATATATGAATAATAGAGAAAGCTAATCTGGTTTTGTGTACCAGCTACTTTCAAATACTCTAACCTGAATGGGAAATATCTAAGGTATATCTTATGATTATCATTTTCAGATGAAATTGAGCATCTACATAGCTAGCGTACTGAATTTAAAGTTTCCCATTATGAGTCAGATGTACAGAAATGTGACTTTATAACTGAATTCAAAATTCTCATGTGCCACTATATCTGGAGATGGCAGAAAACACTAAATATTTTCAGTGAAAAGTAGGTCAGTCACTTCTAGTTTAAAAGTCTCTTTTGTATAAATATTAAATGAGATTTAGGATTCTCTCTTCCCATACCTTTCTGTCGATCTGGCGAGTCCTGTTGTGCAGATGCTCACTCTAGTTGTCTTGGGTATTCCGAGGTGCCTCCTGGCTAGGGCTTCCACATGGTCCTCCAACTTTGCATGCATTACTGAGGTGCCCACAGTTGGCTGTAACTCCCGCCTAGTTTCCCAGCAAAGTAATGTATGTGGTCCTGCACTTCCTTGGCACCAATTGGGATCTCATGGAGGATGCTGGCAGCCAAAAGTCAAACAGTCCCTCTACTCCTCCTCTTTTGGGATCTTTCACCCATAGCCTTGCAAAGATGTCTCCTCTTCCCAGCATCCTGAAGAGCATGTGGATTCTCAATTACGAAGAGGTGTAGGAACACTTTAGGTATCTTCATGCCTGCATTGGAGCCAAGGAAGAGTAGAGAAAGAGAGAGTATTTCAAGAATACAGCTCTGAAAGCCACTGTGAGGCCAATTCCATTTTTCTAGTTAAGTGACTTCCAAAGTAATTTAAGGAAAAGATAAGCAGAGCAGCTTCAAAAGTTGCTTGCTCAACAACAGCTTATTCAAAAGGTCAGTATTATAATCAAATATTGCAATGCACAGTAGTCATATAGTTTCTGAAATTTGAACTACACACACAAAAAGAAAATCTTCACTAATCAGAACGCTTTTTAAAAAATTGTTAATGCACTATCACAGATATTAGGCAACCTGATACAAATGTATTATGTCTTTAAAAAAACTTTCAATTAACATATTTGTTTATTTTTTATAATTGATGTGCACATATAAAGGTTGTTCACCGCCTACTACCTGGAGTCTAGAATGATCACAGGAGAAGTGGAAAAGATGAAATGGCTTTTATAAGTATAGATTGCTGTGGAAAGTGCCGAGCTTTAAATGTCTATGGAAACAATGTGTGATAGATCACTAGCCAAATCTTTGACCTATTTATTTAACTAAAAGTATAGCATAAAGGTGAACTTCAAATATTATTAGAAACCAAGAATTTTGTGTTGATTCATTCTTTTCAACTTTAGATGCTTCTTTTAAATCCAAGAAGAAATGTCTTAAATATCCTTTATATTTTATATACATATTTTATATACTTAGATTGTTCCCCACTATTTGTTTATATATAAATTAGGACCATACTTGAAACTTTAAACTTCAAGATATGTCCCACAACTTGTGTGGAAGAAATTGTGAGCCGTAATGCAATGGTTGCTGCATAGAACTTGGTTGAATCACTGAGAAATTTTGTGAGCTCTCATTTGTATAATTTGTGAGATGTGTCCTTGTAGTCTCTTAAACAGTAAAGAGGACCTTTGACAAAGTGTATATTGTTTGAGTGGATTAAGAGGGTGTATGGACCTTTGTTTTTTTTTTTTAGTTTCCTGTTTGTTTTTGTTACCTACCATTGCTTCAAGACCTATCCCTTTCAAGGACTGGAATTTGATCATTCCCAATGAGCATTAGGCATCCTAGTCTTTTTTTCATCAGTTGTCAGTGGTATTCTATTTTCAGAGTCACAGAGCATAAGAGAGACAAACAGCAGTATTTGTAGTGTGCCAGATGCAAGAGGGACTTCCTGGACCATTACAGTAATATCCTTTCTCCCTAAGTAATATTTTGCAAATATACTGAAGACAGATTATGTTAACTGTCTTCAGTGGGTTATAAGTTGAGCTAGCACTATATTTTTTCCTGTAAATATGTAAAGTTGTGACATGGCATTTAATAGTTTTAAGCTCTTGCTGCCAAAATAAACACAGCTGTAAGAAATGATGACCCTCTCATCTTTTTAACAATAAAATGGCCTCCTACAATGTTTTCTTAACCCTGGATGTTGTTACTAATCCCCTGGATTTCGGAGCTCCATCCTTGCCACCAGTAGAAACCCAGTAAAGAGTACAGTTATTTTTTTTTTTAAGATTCTATTTTTGGAGAGAGGGGAAAGGAGGGAGAAAGAAAGGGAGAGAAATATCGATGTGAGAGAGAAACATCGATTGGTTGCCTTTTTGCCCTCACCAGGCCCATACCCACAACCTAGGCTTGTGCCCTGACCAGGAGTTAAACTTATGATCTTTCACTTTATGGGTCAACGCCCAACTGAGCCACACCGGTCAGGGTGAAGAATACAGTTTTTCACCGAATAGCAGAACATGGAGGATGAAGTTATTTACATAAATTACAATATGACAAAAAGCCTTTGAAAATCTCTGTCATAGTGCAACATTCATACAACGTTAAACAAAACAGTGATTGTCGACCAAGGAAAAGTTAATATACTGAGAGGAAATTTTGTGAACTAGATCACCTGCAAACCTTGAAAGGGTCATTATTGATGGCCTGCAAGATATGGCAGTTGCTACCTTGGGGATCCTGCTGTACAACCACATGTGTAAGCTCCTCTCGTTTAATCTTTGGATATAACGTAACTGTAATGATATTTTCCTGGTACACATCTATATTTCTCAAAAAAAGCAAGTCTCTATTACTAACAGTTTCATTCAAGAAAAGAATGGAGAAAAGGATGAAGAATAAGATACATTTCTATGCAATGTTTCTTGTCTTCATATTTCTAAATATATGTATTTAAACAGCAGCCCTGGCTAGTGCAGCTCAATGGATTGAGCACTGGCCTATGAACCAAAGAGTCACTGGTTCGATTCCCTGTCAGGGCACATGCCTGGGTTGCAGGCCAGGTCTCCAGTAGGGGGCATGCGAGAGGCAACCACACATGGATGTTTCTCTCCCTCTCATTCTCCCTCCTTTCCCTTCTCTAAAAAATGGATAAATAAAATCTTTAAAAAGATAAACATCAGCATACATTTTGTAAATTTTTATAAAGATAAATTGTCTTCACCCTAGCTGGGTGGCTCAATTGGCTGGAGTACCTTCCTGTATGCCAAAAGGTTAAGGGTTCAATTCCCGGTCAGTGCACATAGCTAAGTTTCGGGTTTGATCCCTGGTCAGAGCACATACAGGAGGTAACTAATCCACGTTTCTTCCATACTAATGTTTCTCTCTCTGTCTCTCTCCCTCTCACTCTGAAATCAATAAACATATCCTCAGGTGAGGATTAAAAAAAAGATAAACTGTCTTCTAAAAACAGAAAGCAAAGTTTTGATACCTTTGCTTTATTCCTATATAGTTCCTTTATTTCTATCACACCCCAGATTTTTTTTGTTTTAGCTTATTTTTTTTCCCCCTGAAAGACCTTATGTTTGTTTTTCAAGTTTAATTCCAGCCAGTTGGGTTGTGAGAAGATAAAAGCTTCTGATAGAGTTCATCTAGCTACATAAAAGTCCATGTTGCATATGATCATAATCTTGATCTTTGATTAGATCTGAGCTAGTAATATCTTGTGATTAATCAAAATGGGTTGCACTTCATGTAGTATGTCATCTTCCCAGATGGGACAGAATTATCAGAGTTCTCTTGAATATTTGTTTTAATCCCTTCTAAGATGAAATAGTTTGGATTTTTTTTTTTTTACTTTAAATCAGATTGAGTTCCCCAAATAAATGACTAGGAAGAAATTTTGAATTCCAGTTTTGCTAGGATTAAAGGTCAAAAGAAAAGAAACTTATTTTTTAATTCATAGTATTTCAATGTTTCCTTGTACATGCTTCATGTGTTTTAAAAAGTTGTAAAATTTGACAAATATTTATACTCATTGTAGTTTGAATAAAAATGTTTCATCAAAGAACAATGAAATATACTTCATGGGACTGATGTTGAGGGTTTTTTTTTTTGTTCTTCACAACATAAATCATTTTTTCAGGGTTATTAATTGCCCTTTTTATAACTATCTGATTCCAGCCTAAATGAGATATGATAACAGAGCTTTACTTTGTTGAAATACCTAATGTCTACCATGCAGAATACAGCAAGAACTCTCAGACACAGAATGTTGACTAAATGTATCTGTCATTTTGGAGAGCCATTTGGGCCTTGCAACACATAATTTCTTTAAAAAGTTGCTCACCAAATGCTCTGAATTGAACTGCCTACCCCAGAGCCACACCCAGCAGGGGTGTCCAGCTTACGGCCCGCGGGCTGCATGCGGCCCAGGATGCCAAAGAATGCGGTCCAACATAAAATCGTAAATTTACTTAAAACAATACAAGATTTTTTGTGTGATTACATGTCATAACATATTTAATGTGTGGCCCAAGACAACTTCTCTTCCAGTGTCACCCGGAGATGCCAAAAGATTGGACACCACTGTTAGAGGCTCATTAAGTATATTTCTATGATTATATAGGAATCATTGAAGACAAGAATCGATAAAAGCTGTGCAATTCATCTAATCCCCTTAGAGACTGGATTAATAATGCACACATATATTAAAATAAAAATGATTTAATTTATTTAACTTCTTTTTTTTTTCTTACAGGAGACCTGGTGAGCCTCCATTGATCAAAGGCTGGCTTCCATACTTTGGGATGGCCCTGAAATTACAGAAAGATCCCATAGGTTTCATGAGAACTCTGCAAAAGCAACACGGTGACACTTTCACGCTTCTCCTTGGAGGTAAACAGCACTTCACGTATCATAATTTCTCACTTGTTCTTTAATGTCATTATGTTTTTCTCTAGGCAAAATATGGAATATTTGTACAGTATTATTTTACTTGTACAGCTAATACAAAAGAAAACTATGTTCTTGAGCATAGCAATCCTCACATTAAAAACACAAATTATAAAACACTCTTGAGAGCGTCTAGGGAAACAGACTTTCCTGCCATCACTTGTTATTATAGTTTGGTGTGATTTGGTTTTAAGAATGGTTTTTTAAAAGCTACAATGTATTAATGATCTTTGCTTTGTAGAGCAGTTTTAGGGTTATAGAAAATTGGTCAGATATTACGGAGAGTTCCCATATGTCCCTTTTTCCCCCTGATCATAGTTTCCCTGGTTAGTAACATCTTACATCAACACTTCCTACAACTGATGAGCCAATGTTGATACATTATTAAACATCTGTGATTTACATTAGGGTCTACTCTTTGTAGTGTACAGTTCTTTGAATTTTGACAAATGCATAATGTCATGTATCCACCATTATGGAATTACACAGAATAGCTTTCACTGCCCTAAAAATCCCTTGTATTCCACACATTCATTCCTCTTCCCCTCCCCCAGCCCCTAGCAACCACCGATCTGAAATGTATTTTTAACTGGAAAATATTTGGTATCCTTCTACGTTAATAAAATGTTTACAAAGCTAGATAAAAGGAACACAGCAAGTTTACTATATACCCCAACCTCAAGGGGCTAAGAAGAGAAGCTAGAATGTTCTTAATTCTTCCTCCTTTAAGGCTTTTGCTGTCCAGATGCATCCCTATCTATTGCTACATAACAAACCTCCCACATATTTAATGCCTTCAAACAACAACTGGTCTCGCCAGAGTCACTTGTGTGGCTTGAGTCATCTGACTGCTTGACTGGGGGATACATGGTCCATGCCGGCCTTATTTATGTGCCTGGCAGGACCTCCTTGTGCACATGCTGTTTCATCTTCAAAATGATACCCTCACTATGTCAGCTAGTGTTTCAAGATGGTACGAGGAAAAGTTGCAAGGCCTCTTGATGTTACAAAACCTCACTTCCACCATATTCCATCAATCAGATCAAGTTGCAGGCCAGCACAGATTCAAAGGTAGGGAATTAGACTCCACCTCTTCCTGGGATGTGTGGCAGTCACATTGCCAAGGAGCACATGTAGCGAGAGGATGGGAATTTATTGAGGCCATCTTTGCACAGAGTCTTCCGTATCAGCTCATCACCTGGGCTAGCCATTCCCTTTCTTGATCTTCATCTGCCCTGTCTGTGCTCCAGAAGGCTGATCTCTACAGTGTAGATCCTCCTTTGCACTTCTTTGCCCTCTGACTTCCAGTTGGGTGTGCTGGTGAGAGAAGGCAGGCGTGTTCCAGCCCCATCTCTCACTGGGCTCTGGTAACACAGTGCACTCTCCTTCCTAAGGAAATTGAAGACATCAGGCGAGACCTCACTCAGATCCCTGCAAATCTACCAAACGTGCCATGTCTCACAACTGTTTTTAACACCTATTCTCCAATTTCAATGAATGTTCAAGACAATCCAGGTACCTGTTTCCATGATCCTACCTTCCTACTTTCTCTGGGCTGGCATTTTACTGTGTATTTATCTCATACATGTATCTTCATTTTTTTTCCCTCTTGAGTCCTCACCCTTCACTTATAACCACATTTAAGCTTCTCCTATATTCTCCAACTGGTTACTTTTCGCTTCTTTTTGTTTTTCTCTTTGGCATCCGCATTCTTCAAGAGTTATCTACATTTGCTGCTTCTAGGTGCTTATCTCCTGGAAACCTCCTAACCATAACTAGCCTTCTGCCTTGCTGAGCTCACTAATGGGCCCTCCCCTGACTAGACCTCTCTACCTGGTTTGGCAGCATGGATCCCTCATTCCTTCCTGAAACAACTCTGTTCCTTCACTCTTATGACACTATACCTTCTGGTTCTTTCTCTGACTCGGAGTATTTCTCATCTGGGTCATCTTTAGGCATTCCTGTTTTCTTTGCTCAACCCCTTTTATTTTCCTCTTACCAGCCTTGGAATTTTATGTTCTATTCCTAAAGAATTAGGGTGATTTCTTCTTACTGTAATTACTGGGCTGAGTATCAGAAGCTACTTTCTGTACACAGAGTGACTTCATTTCATTGCTACCATTTTAATGTAATTGGGAGGAAAAAATGATCCAACCAGATGAAATTGTAAGCATGATTGAGTTCTCACATGAGCAGGCAATATTCGATTCATCACAACTTCCTCCTTTACCTGGCAGCTGGCAAGTCCCTTCGGAAAATAATTGTATGTACTCTGCTTTCAGAAAAATTGAAATGGAAAAAAATTACGCACCTTAGAAAGAGAGGAATTATAGTATATAAACATAATCCTCACAAAGGTTTCCAAAGTCCGGACTCCACCTATCTCTCCAGCCTCATCTCTTGCTACTGCTTGCCTTGTGCTTAATGCATCATTAATGCACCAAATGGTTTGAAATTTCCTCCTCACACACCAGGCCCTTTGGTGTCTCTGTGTTTTCTCTTGCTGTTTATTCTGCCAGAATGCTGTTCTTCTCTTTCTGAGTTGTCCTCGAAAGGGAGCTGACATGGACTCATCACCTGAGGCCAAGGTCGCACATCGCCTCCGCCCCAGAGCCTTCACTGACCATGTTATGCTGATGCTGCTTCTCCAGGCTCCAATTACTCCCAGTATCACTTCTGTCATAACATTTAATAAATCCTGAATTTACTACTAATTCAGCTGTCAATTTCTCATCATTATTTTCTAGTTCCTCTATTGCCAACATTTAGTCCAGAGATCAGCACTGATTGATTCACACTAACTAACTGATGAGGAATTTATCAATACAGTAGAGCTGATAAAATACTTACTAGAACACAAATAAAGGCCATAGCTGGTTCTTCTATTCTAAGTGAGCTTTGGCTTCATAATACAAAACTGTACTCTTTGCTTTTTTCTTAAAGAGTCACTTTGAAAAATTCAACCTAATGTTCTAATGAGTAGATACAACCCATTATTGAAATTTTAGCTTTCCTTTTTAAATTTATTATACAGAAACAAGCTAAGATAACTAAGCAGAAACTTGTGGCAGATTTGAATCATTGTATTTATTTTTCAACAAAAAAACCCCACGATTTCTTCTGACACTTGATATCTTAGTTTTAGATATTGAGAAGTTTGCTGAATTTCTTATGTCTAAATAATTTGACTGTGATTATGTTTTTGAACTCAACAGTTGACAACCACAGTTGAGTGTGTACTATTTCTCTGTGGCTTCTTACTAGAGTTCAGATAAATTCCTGTCAAGATATCCTATTAATGTGCATGGTTCTAATGATCAGTTTGCAAAATATCTCATTTGGAAAATGTGAAATGAGGAACAGTTTTCCACCTCTGTCCCCTAAAATGATTTCAGTGAGTAATATTCTTGTATGATGAGCAAGTGATTGTCATCCCAAAAAGTGTCAGCGGACATGGATGTCATCTTAATAAAGAAATTAAAATGTACATCTTTTCATGAGAAACTATGTAAATTCTTGACCTGTCGCAGAAAATAGTTCTCTAACTGGTTTTGTGTGGTGGTGCAGCCGAATCATTTTCCCTCGATGTCATGCCTGGGAAGTAGCACTGTACATCATTGTCAACAGCCAGTGAAATCTCCCTAATAAGAGGGGGAGTGTGTGGTGTGGTCAGCCTCGTAAAATAAAAAGTTGGTTTATATTCCACTCCTCCAACTAATATTTTCAACTTGAAATTTTAAAAAAAATCTCTTGAAGAACCAGCTAAACATGGAAATTAAAAGCTTATAATTCTGGAAAGTTTCTTTAAAATTCAAATTTATTTCAGATTTGTTGACTAGGCATTTCTATTCCAAATAGTCAAATAATCGTTCTGAATTCCGATGGATGTGTGACTGTAAAGCACCAAATATCTGAAATGAAAACATCAAAACTCCATTTATAAGGACCCAGATGTCCAACTTCTAGTTTATCTAAGACATTAGTGTCAGTGATCTCAGTTGTTTTTTCACATTTACTGACACACTGTGCACCATATAGCTTCACCTTCCGGAAGGAAGTGATTTTGAAGGAAGTAAAGAGGCTAGTGAGTCAGTAAAGGATCATGCACAGGTTATAGGAATCCTAGAGTTAATATCGTAAGGCCCAGACAGCTCCTATAAAGGGAGCTGTCAATGAACTTATTGCCAAAGAAAATATTAAAAATTTTGACTCTACTTCCAATTCAAATATACAGTTCACAAGGAATAGATATATAGATAGACAGATAGATAGATAGTAAGCCTCATTTTGACATTTATATTTTAGCCAAATGCAAACTCTGAAATTCTTTAAATGAATTCTTTTATGTCAACTGCTGACATAATTTTTTTCTTTTTTGAAAAACATGGCAAAGGTTATTGCTTCTACCTTGTGATCTTTGTGAAGTAGGCAACTGGCCTGTTGAGACTTGTTCATTTACATAAAATTACACAAGAGGGAAAGTTAATTTTGCCCCAAGAATACATGGTCTTCAAAATAACTTTTCATATTTCCTTTGTTAGGAAATTTAAATTCATTTTATGAATGTATATGTATTTTCCTGTCTGATTAAAGATTACAAAGAAACTCTGGTTTTGCATCTCACATTAGCAGATGGTGGACAGATGGTTTAAATTAATATTAATTTTGGAAAACTTAGCTTAAATTGTTTATACTGAAGATTAAAAGTTGGAAAGCCAGCTAACATCTCCAGGGTTATTAGTACTTCCAAACCCCTTGAAAAGCAAAGTCCAGAAATCAAAACGTCCACTTTTAAAGAAATCCACATCTTACTCAGAAAGATAGATAAAACGCAATGCCTTGATGTGGAAGAAAATTAAAATAAAAATGAGAAAGAGAAAAATACAGATCCTCGAATGCGAAGAGCATTGAAAACAGTGAGAATGTAATCTATAAACAAACTGCTTTAAACTGATCAGTAATGATTTTTACAAAGAGCCTATATGCAACTGCTTATTTTTTTAAATATTCATAATGGGTTGCTAACCAGAGTGTTTTTGCACATTTAGCTTCTACTCCTTTTATTTTAAATTAATATTATCATTTTCCCCATATCCTCACCCCCAAAGAGAGATAGAGGAAGAGGGACGAAATATGACTTTGTGATGAATTATAGACAAAAACTCTTAACTTGCATGCAGTCTGTACTGCAGGAGGCCAGCTCACGCTGTCGTGGTCAAATAGTTTTGTCGTTGATGATTTTAGAAAATTGATAGTAAAAATTTCAAAATATACTCCAAAAAGTATGTGTTTTACAAACTGAACCTTTTATACATTCTCTGAACTTTAGCGACAAATTTAAAATAACCTTAAAGACATTTAGTAAAATCCTTTCATTTAGTAAAATCCTTTCATTTAGTGAAAGGAAAAAAGTATGAATCACCACCTGTGAAAATGCACAGCTTTACCTAAAATTATGCCTTTTGCAAAATAAGAGAATTGATTTTTTTTTCAATTATCTGTCAGGCAGATGCTGGCAATTTTATTTAATTAAGCTGCTATGGTAAAGCAGGTGTCAGAAAATATGCCCAAGTCCTGTTGAGTCCCTTTTCCTCTCCCCAGGGGGGAAAAAGATTGAGTTTATTTTGTAGATGCAGCTTTGGGATCTGACAAGAATGAGTAGTCATTTCTAGCTTTCCTGTCATTCTTGGATTGGCCAAACTTACTAAGTAAATCAAGGGGAAATAGAGTGAATAAAATTTAAGTCAAATTATTTATTTTTAGAAAATATCATAGCACATATATCCCCATATATATTAAAAACGTAAATTATGTTTTAAAATTGTAAAAAAAAAATCTCCACTTACCTTGTTTCTAGGGTTAGGTTGAAAATTATTCAAAACTTTATCCCTAATCTTGTACCAAATTGAAATTGCGTGATGCTGTTGGGAGTAACCGCAGATGACAAGTGAGAAGTTGTTGCTCTCAGAAAGCTACGCAAACCTACCTGCACACGCACACACAGTGAGATGATAAAGTTAAGGAGAAAGTATAGATGATCCTATATGCTTCAAGGTCTAATTATTTATTTATTTTCTAGAAGACAATAATAGGCATTGAAATGTGTAGGAGCATCTAAACTTCATGTGTGTTCGTGGGAAGGAAAGACTTATTAAATGCTGTTATGGAATACTATCTGCCAATTTCATATAATTAGAAGGAGTCTTAAAACAGTACTAGAGTACTCCAAACCTGATGAATCGGAATCAAAAAGAAATCTCTATTTTTAACCAGACCTTAAATCTTTTAATTGGGTAAGTTTGGACAATACTGGTGTATAAAAAACCAAATGTCACCACCTCAAAGAACCCTTTTTGATAACTCTTGAAAGCAGATGGAAGCAGACCCCACTATCTGCTTCACACCTTTGTTATATCACTATCCATGTAACACAATGTTTTCCTTACATATTTATAGCTCAAGAAGAAAGTGATCCAACCCAGTGTCTGGGTTTCAATAAAAGTTGTATGAATATAAGAATGAATGAAGGAATGAATGAATGAATGAATGGATTCTAGTTTTGAATCCTGTTTTAGTATGTGACCTCAGGCATGTTATTAAACCTCCCTGAGCCACTATTTTATCATCTATAAAAATTAAAATTCTTACCTTTTGTGATTTCTTATGAGTGTTGAATTAGGCATTCATTTTTAAGTACATACTACATACCACATCTTTATTTATTTCAGTTAAAACTATTGTATCTTGCCAAAGCTAAGATGATACCAAGTATGATAAAGTTATTTATGACATGTAAACAATCAGTAATGGAATGGCATCTCACCAATTCATTTTGTTTGATTTTGTTTGTGTTATTGGAGCAAAAATATGAAAAGTGTTTAAGTCATGGGATTCTGAGAATATTTAAAGGATAATTTAAATATTTAAGTACTTAGTTAAAATAAAAATTTGAAGGGTTATATTACCTTTTTTTAATTCATTAAGAATTTCAGAATATTTGATTTCAAGCTTCTAGTTTTTCCTACCATCTCCCACTTTAAAAGAAAACATATAGTGGACCTTTTAATGAAATGGATTTTTATTAAACTTTGCAACTTTCTAGATGTTCATTATTAAGATCTAATTTTTGCTAAAATATTTTCAAACTTCTGGGTGGGGTGCTGTTTGTTTTGCTACCAAATGAGCTTATATTCTCATTTCTTTTAGGAAAGTACATAACATTTATTCTGGACCCTTACCAGTACCCGTTGGTGATGAAAAATCACAAATTAAGCTTTCAAGAGTTTACAAACATTCTGTTAAAGAAAGCATTTTCCATCCAAAAGATGAGGGCCAGTGATGGCCTGAAGACTGAGCTTCATGACTGCTATCACCTTTTACAAGGGAAATCCTTGGACATACTCTTGGAAAACATGGAGCAGAACCTAGAACAAGCTTTTGAACCCCAACCATGTAAAACCACAGACTGGAACACGACACACTTGTTAAGATTCTGCAGCTCAGTAATATTCGAGGCTACATTTACAACCATATATGGAAAATTTATTGCTGGCGATAGGAAAAAATTTATTACTGAACTTAAAGATGATTTTTTAAAATTTGATGCCAATTTAATAAGATTGTTATCAGACATACCCATTGGGCTTCTAGGAAATGTCAGATCTATTCAAAAGAAACTTATAAAATGTTTGACATCAGAAAACTTAGCTAAGATACAAGGATGGTCAGAAGTTGTTCAAATGAGGCAAGATATCCTGGAGAAATACTATACGTTCAAGGACTTTGAAATAGGAGGTAAGAAACTTCTGAATGATTACTTGTCTAAAATAGAATAATTTACAATAAGACCTTTGAAATAAAAAGACAAAATCGCGACCTTGAAAATTTTTATGCTCTTTCTAATTGGCTAATGATAAAATGTTTTACTCTGAAACAACCCTCTGTGATAATTGATTTTTTTTTTTTTTTTTTTTTTGCTGAGGTGGTAAAACAAGATATTTAATGGTGATAATGAGAAAGAGTATAACTAAGCTGCATTTACTCCTCTTTTCTCATCCCCCACCTCCCCACCCCCCGTACACACACACATTACATTTTAAACTATTCTCATTAAGCAGAAAATTAGACTTCAGAAGCCTATTGGTCCTCATTAGCATGCACTGATCCTTGGCTGGGTCTGTGTCCTAACATCTTTTAATTAGCACACTGCAAATCTAATCAGTGTAATAAACGCTATTAATCTTCCTTTTCACTTATTTTCTCCCAGCACATCATTTAGGCTTTCTCTGGGCCTCTGTGGCAAACACTATTCCAACCATGTTCTGGGCGATCTATTACGTTCTACGGCACCCAGAAGCTATGGCAGTGCTGCGTGACGAAATTGACCATTTGCAGGAGTCAACAGGTCAAAAGCGAGGGTCTGGATTTTCCATCCACATCACCAGAGAACAATTGGACAGCCTGGTCTACCTAGGTAATTTATTTTTATCTGTTATGAAGAAAAGAAGGGTACTTCTCTGCAAACTCAGTTTATCACTCAAAGCTATTTACCAAGAGGTGGAGGACACAGCTGCCTAATTGACATAATAACACCCATTTACATCAATTATAAATTATGTAGTTTATAGCTGTAGATACTCTCATTGCATGTAAACACTAAGGCCTAGGTAATTAACTATGCAAGGTATGCAAAAGGCTAGACCAAAGCTTTGCAATTATTTGAAAAAAAAGTTTCTGCCTATTAAATCATTTGATTCAGAGCATCTGTTGGCATGCTAACGCTTTTCAAACACTGTTATTCTATCTCATCAAGAAAGGTATTTGGGGTTTGAAAAAGAAAGTATTTCAGAAATGCAACTTAAGTGCAGAATGTAGTTATTCTACCCTAAAATGGTGTCTATATTTTCATGCAGCGTTAGAATGTTTAACACAGCTTGGAGTGCATGATTCTGAAGCATGTAGTACAAGTGATCTCTACTGGAAATTCATGATTTAGACACACTTTGGGGCAGAGCGGACATGAAGAAAAAGGAAGGGAGACAAGGAGGGAAAAGAAAAAGCAACAACTACAAATTACTTCATGTAAAATGTCCGTATTTTATAAAATATTCACTGACTCATCAGATATGCATGGTCACTGTTAAATACATTTTAGGTCAGGAGCAACTTGGTTGTTTTTTTGTTTCTACATATACATGTATACCAGTGACACCTGCTTTTGATGACAATGGATTGCATTCTCCTTTACTGGTTTTGATAAGACTGCCTATGACTAGGTGATAAACTTTAATTCCCAAAGTTAAATTCCATATCAACAAGTTATCCTCTATTCCTTCTGTATTGACATTTCATCCTGTGGTATCCTTTACTTTGCAATAGTTCAAGTCTCTTTGGGCAAATGCAAGAGTAAGTCGTTATGTATTTCTGTTTCCATGACTCCTTTGACAACATAGGAAAGCATTTAGCCCATGTTGGTCTCAATATTTTATCTTTTAAATAAGCTTCAGTTTTTTTGGTGGGAACTTCTATCCACAAAGGCCCTACAGGTCTTGTCCACCTGCTGGCCTTAAGAAGAATGGCCCAAGAGATTGTTCCCACTTGTTAGGGTGAAGCCCATCAGAAGCAATAGCTGGAACCTGGCCTTATACTGACTGTTGGCTAGCTTGTTCAGTGGATTAGGAAAAATGTGTCACCTTGTTCTTTGCTGTTTTTAGCATACATTATCAAAGTAATTTTATACTTACTTGGTGAAGGAAATAATCCCACATTAGTAAAATGCAAATATTAGTTATTTTTCTTTTGAAAATTAGTGAAAAACAAATGCACAAAATTTGCATAAAGTTCTGGATAATTGCGTTTACATCATATGGTTTGGTAAAGATCAAGGTTGTATTTCCCATATATTCAATTGCACTTTATGAATTGGATAACATATACTGAGAAAGAAAGAAAATAAATGTCAAGGAATATATGTTTATATTCCATAGATAGTTATTACTCTTTTTTTAAAGTATGTTTTATTGATTATGCTGTTACAGTTGTCCCAATTTTCCCCCTTTCCCCCACCCAGTTCCCCCCTTTTTTAGTTGAAATTCCTCAACTCTCCTTTTACTCAGCTTCTTGTTATTGAAAGAAAAGATCATTTTTAAGTTGTGGTATTAAATGAGGAAAGTTTAAATGTACTTGATCAAAAGAAATGGATCCATACAAGTCCACAGTTAGAGCTAGAGATTTTTATCCTTGGAGTGCTCATAAATTTACAGTTCATTGACCATCAACAAATGAACAACAATAGTCCCACCTGAGTGTAGATCCACCTGGATAAAGGCAATGCCTTCTGTCATCTAGAAAGTGAACTTCTGTTTATCACAACCTAGGTCTCAAGCACAAGCCAGGTAACATTCATTATGAGAGCTTAATCTTCTAGAAAACACTGTACATTTCTTCTTTCATAAGATAGACTGTTGTATGCAGAGGGGAGCAAATTTTTATATGACTCACTAACAGATAATCTCTGCATCCAGTCATAGCTCAACTGTATTTCTGCATATCAAAAGAGTTTGAACTATATGTACAAAAGGCAAGATTTACAGAATTAAATATTTGCACAGTGCACCATATGGTATGAGTGTATGTGCTTCCTCTTCTCATCTCCTTAAGGAAAGAATTCTATGTATTCTAAGTACAATTTCTTTTTAAAGAGATATCTTGAATTTTTATTATTACAGAAAAAGATCACAAGGATTAAATGAATACTACATCTTTTTAAATTCCAGGACAGAAAATTTTGTTATTAGTACAGCAGAGGGATGGGAGATTATTTTTTACAGAGATACTGCATGTGAGCATACATTTATTATGCAGCAAGGTTGAAAAGGAAAGCTAGAAAGCCATAGAAAAGGGTGTCTTATTCCTGAACAAAAATGATTTCTCTGGGGTGGTCAAGAAGAGAGAGTCAAGGAGGGCATAGATGATGCCTGGCTCAGCCCTGTGGGCCGCAAGTGTATCAAATTTCCTCTGATGTCATACGCACCTAATGTCAGCAAAAGTTAAAATGTGTAACATAGATTTGGCTTTTAAATACCAAGCCCAAAGCAATCATTTGTTTTAAGAGGTTGTAATGGATTTATGTTTTTATCCAATGCTCTCGAAAGTCCTTCTGCTTAAAGGAAAACACAATTTTATATATTTATATATTTATGTAATTGATAAGGATTCGGCTTATCACGACCTCACTAAAATGTTACATCAATTTAGTAAAGGTCTCCACCATTAACTTTAAATTTGAATTTAGAAAAAGTTAGTAAATACAGTGAGGTTCAAATAACAGTTGCTTGGGGCCAAAATCTCAATAAAAATTGTTGCTGAGAAAATGGAAGTTTGAAAAACTCTAAGAGAAAAGTAAGCGATAATGCAAGAAGCAGAAGCTCTCAAAATTGAGTCGTGCTTCTTACTTCAACGTTTACTGAAATAATGTATGTAAATAACTTAATAAAATGTGTGGGTTCAATAAACGTATCTATTATTACCACCAAAATGATATTAAACTTAAATGCCATCCCTACAATGTTTATACTGTTTTCTTTATTTTCAAGTATTTCTGAACCAGGTGGGTATGAAATTCAAGTCCACTTTGCGCTGCAGGAAGGCACTTTCTGCATGGGGCACATGAAAAGAGCAACTGGACTCTAAGTCAGAACATAAGGCAAAGTGGGTTATAACTCCTAAACTGCTCAGGTGAATTGCCAGCAATTGCATATCCTAAAAATGAAAAAAGTTGCAAATGTAGTTCAAGTTAGGGATATTGGAATAAAAGGAGGGACTGTAAAACTAGGGTTTGGCAAAATTTGTAATACGTTTTTATAAAAAGAGATAGAATATTATAGTAACTCTAGAATTATGAGCTTTGGCGTGACTTTCAGTAAAATTCTATAAGAGACATCTAAGCCCTTTTTTGTGTGTGAGTGAGTGGAAGGGGACACGAATGATTAGTTGGACAAAATAAAGATTAATTACAAATAATAGTGATTATTAGGCATAGTCCATAGTAAAACTATTAATAGTTTTGACATTTCAAAGCAACTTTATGGGCTTATATTGTTTTGTGTGATCTTCACCAAGATACTGGGGAACTGGGGCAGCTATTACTTTTGTCATTATTTTTACAGAAGAGAAAATTCTAGGGGAAGGGGGGGATAAGGGGACTAAATGATAATGGGAAAAATACAATAAAATTTAAAAGATAATATTCAGAGTGCTAGTAATTAGCCTAAAATCATGGAGGAAAATAAGGGAGGCAGAACCTTAACTTGGGCGTTCTGTGTACACCCAGGCCCTTCCCCTCAGACCTTTCTGATACCAGAATCATTGGAGTCCTTTTCATTGTCCAAACTGAAAGGGAAGAGGAATTCTTTGTATTGTGATTCAACAGAGGCAGCCATAATAGTCACATGCACAAGATCAGAAAATGTGGGCTAGGTGATGATATTTTTAATTTCGGAAGACACATTAAGAATGACAGTATTAAAAATTATTTTACTACGTGGCAGGCATGTATATTAGCTTGTTTAATCCTCAAATATTATCTTTAATTATCGGGTAACAAAGTTCAGAAAGATTATTTAACCACCCAAATCGTACAACTAAATAGTAGAAATTGATGCCAGGACTAGTGCTAACCTGTAAACACTGTAACCTTATGGAAAAATGCTCTAGCGATGTACCAGAGACCTTGACCACTATTTTTACATGAATATGTATCATTAATTCTCATACACAATTGGATTTGAACGTGGGGGTGGAGCTAGAGGTTCACATCAGAATTTTGTGGGGGTTTTTTTTAATAAAAATAAATATTTTATCTTGAATAGTTTTAGATTTACAGAAAAGTTACAAAGGTAATAGAGTTTCCATATATCCCTAATGCATATTTTCCCTTATTATTAACATCTTAGTGTGGTATATTGGCAAAACTGTGAGTGTTATTTTGAAAAACTAATTTAATATTATAAAATATTGAGAAATTAAAATTGTACATAATTTAGACAACAATAGTATAGTTTATAAAAAATCCTCATTTCCAGTGGAGCTATGCAGGAGGTATCAATTTCATGTTAGAGACTTCAAACTGGAGCTGAGGGGAGAAGCATCTTCCATAAAGGAGTACACCAGAAATAAGATAGGGAAATTTTTATATGTAATCTAAAAGTGAAAAATACTGATTTGGATGTTTATGGACTTTCCAGCTCAGCACAAAGCTAAGAGGGTTAGATAATAATAATGAATGTTGGAAGCAGGAGATGAAAGGATTGAAAGGGAAATTTAATGAGAATGCAGATTATTTTATTTAGGTCTAAAAATCAACCTCATAAGAATAGGAAGAGGAAATGTGTGGCTGGGAAAAATAGGTTTAAAGCTGTGGTTTTCAGCATGGATTCCTCATTGAAATCATCTGGAAAGCTTCAAAAATACTCAAATCTGTTCCTACCCACAGGGGTTCTGATTTCGTGGCCTGGGGTGCAGGCCGACAGCTTTAAAAACTCCCTGGATGATTCTAATGTGCAACCAAGGTTTAAAAGCACGTATTTAAAAGTGTTCGTTATTGCACTGGTTCTGAACCATTGATCTGGGATGGAGCACTTATTATTATTATTTAGTATTATTATTACACCATCTTAGGTGATTCTAATGGACAGCCAGTGCTGATAACCTCTGGGATATCAGAAAGTTTAAAATAAGTCAATGACTCTGATTTCAAAAATATGTTGTTCATCTGCTTCCAACAAAACATTAATAGAAGTGGGATATTTAGGGCAGACAGAGTAATTCCTCTCTACTTTTCCAACTGAAGTAGCACACCGAGTTCGGCCACATTTTAGTGGCACATTTACTAATTGAATTCATCCAGTATGTCAGAAAAAAGGAAAGCCATATCTTCTCTGACACACAATTTAAAAATGACATGATAATTATCTTTAAATATTTGAAAAAGGCTGTTATGTGGAAGAGAAATTAGAATTTTTTTCCTTTGAGTTTCCTAAAGGGGAGAAATGAAAGGGAGGAAAATTTCAGCTAAGTACAAAAAATAACTTTCTACTGAAAGGAACTTCCTGGGTGCCATCATGGGAAATATCCAGTTAGAAATTGTACGTCTTCACTAGGATCTGGGGAAGCATTCCTGTTTATATATGTGCACCTTCCAACGGTGAATTATCTAGATTGCACTGGCCTTGAGGTCCAAATCCACATGCCATGTTCTCTTTTTTCTACGTATGTGAGCTACCGTCCCACACCAGCAGCAGCAGCCGAGTGTCCTGGGCAGAGCGAGACCTGAATAAATGTCAACTGAATATACAAATGTTGACCTTATACATCTATATTTTAGCAGTAAACCAAAGGCCATGTCTGCAATGCAGAGTGAAAATAGGCATTCATTGGTACCAATACAGATTTATTTTTCTTTGCTTAAAATACACAATCATTGATCCAAAAATCAGTTATTTTACTTTGCATTATCTGATTATTACAATTTCAGATTTACCTTCTCAGCAGTCTTGAAGGCAGTTGCATAAAACCGCACACATATCTGGACTCTCCCACCCTTTAGAGCCTCCAGGCCCCCCTCCCCCTTTCTCATCTACCTTCTTCTGAAGACCTCCCAAGTGCTCAGCCCCGGCAGACTGCAGAGGGCCTGGCTCTTCATTTCACTCCGGCCACCGCTGCTCTCCACTGATCGCCATGGCTAATCAGATGGGATGACAGTCTGCACCAGTCATTAAGATGACCCAAATTAACAGCCTGGCCATGTCACAGTACATCATTCCACATACACAGACATGGCTTAAGTGTGAGGCAGAAACTTGGATGTGCTTATTTATGTTTGCACTGTAACATGCATTATTGATAGTCCTATGCTGTTTCTGCACTTTAAATCTGCAAATGAGAATCATCTGTCAATTATTACAGCCAGAATTGAGATCTAAGGGCAAAAGAGAAAGCGTCTATGCCTTTTTCTACCATCATTTCTTTCATTTGCCCTTTTTCTTCACAGTTACATTGTAAAGCATCTTAGCTCAACACATTCCTCAGCTTTTTGCCTACAGCAGATACTGAATCAGAATATTTTTATATCCTGAAGAGAAACAAATCTTCCCTAGCCAGGCAAGGAAGACCATGCAGGCTCTGAATTGTAAGCTGTTTGTGGGAATTCAGTAACCCAATTTCCTGGTGACTACTGGTCAATAAAGCTTAGTTCTTAATAAAACACTGGGAGCCTTATCTAAATACCATTGCAGTCGTTGGCACCTTACCATGCCTGATGTAAATTATCCCCCAAATATTTGCATTCTTGATAGCCATATTTCTACTGCATTTAATAAATAGAGGGTCCTATTACCTGCTAAATGTTAGTATAAATTAACAATCCATTATGCACAATAAGTTTTATAAAACATTTAGACAGAGATCATGTTTAATTAAAATTAACTTGCGTATGAAAGCCAAGTGCACTAATGATCACAATGACCTTTTATTACCTGCAGTCCCTTGTTTTGGCTGGAATGATTGACAGCTTGCTGTTTGGCTACCATGTTGAATTTCAGCTGACAAGACTTTTCATTTTAACTCAATTTGCCCGCCTATCACAAGCTGGTGGCAGGCCAGACCCAAGTCACCCAGCTTTGCCTCAGCAGCTTGCTCTAGTTCTCATTAGTACGCATTTATTCAGTGGAAATTGGAAGACAAATGCTTGAAGGCATGTGAACTAAGTATAGCAAATTAGGTTTAAAGACTGAATATTTATAAGTATATGGAAAGTTTTTTTTTTTTTTAAATTCTAGAGCAAATTGAGAACTGAGTGCTAGCTTTGGCATAAAAGAAATAAAGATAGAAGGGGGAAGGAAGATTCTAAGAATAACAATACTATAAGCTTTTTCTTTCCATTTTGGAAATATGTAAAATGCCTCTGACAACACCTTATCAAATACCAACCTGGCCTCTCTTTCGTGGAGCGCTTGCACAATGAAGTTTAGCACCTCGTGCGTGAGAAGGGGGAAAAATGAGGGTCATGTTCAATTGTTGCTTGGTTATCCCTTGGTATGTTTTAAATTGCCTTGTTTGTTCGGCACTAGCACAGAAACAGATGTTGCTCTACCGTGCAGGATAATTTACTGTACCTCCTGGTGCAGCATGGAAGGCCTCCCAGGGCCCAGCTGGTCTGTCAGTGGCACTGGCTGGTGTCTGCTCAACTATGACAACTACAAGTAGAGGCTGCAATTTTTTTATTGTGCAGTTGTCATTCTTCTCATCACATAGTTCTGCCTGCATTCTTACTGGGCTGGTGGAGAAGCTGCTGGCTTTTGTGCCTGTATGAGGCAACACAGAGCCACGGAAGCCCCACTCTCCGTTGTTAATAATAATGCAACTCATTACTTCTGTTGCCTAATGATTATCGGCATGATCGCTCAGAGCAAGAGCCAACCTCGTCTTGCACACATAACTGGTACTGGAAGGTAAAACAGATTTGTCATTTATGATCTGACCGCTAAGCCACACTTTGTGCTCCATTATTGTGATTAACTTCTGCAGAAGATATGCTCGCCCAATTGTCATTTGTGATACTGCAGTGGACGCAAGCTGCCCTGCTTCCCGCGAGCACGTCAGCCAATCCGATGTGACCATGTTATTTGGATTGTTAAATGCCTGCCCTGTCGCAGCAGCCACCCTGCAATTCTTTAGCTTTTGTATGTCTTCTTCCCACTCCCCTACTGGACTTGGTGGGGAAACGGTGCTGCTCCATATGTCAGCTACCATTTCACACCACAAGCTAAAAGGATGCTGTGCTGTTGTTGACTCAACAGAGCCGGCAGCGGTACAGGGAAAGCCGACCCTCGATTTTTACCATAGAAATGTTGGTCGCTGGTGTCCTGCCAGCTAAAATCCATTGTGTCAGGTGCCTTGTGGCTATCTGCAGTAGAGTCCATGTTCCAAAACCAAAGTTCTTTTCTGGCTTCATCACCAACAAACCATTTTGACGCTGCCTGATTATAATAACGATGGCAGTCCAAAAGAATATGCACAGCTTCACCGGACGTCACATTGAATCACCACACTGACCACACAGAGCTGACCGCAGCCTGATTTCTTTAGACAAACGCATGCCCAGGGAAAAACCTCCTGGGAGAAGGCACCCAAAGCTACTTGATAGCATTATGCAAACCATGCATAGATTTAAATTTTAGTGAAATAGTATTTATTTTTAATTTTTGGCTGGCGGGAGCCCCCACTGGACTAGCGTGCATCTATACTCTAATAATGAGTACCTCTGTTTTAGAGCTTTGCTGAACACTAGGAAGCTAGGCTATGTGTGTGGTGTGTCTGTGATTGTACATTGCATTCCATAAACAACCATTTGTTACCATGTGAAGGGGGAAATACTCAATTTGGAGCTCTCTTTCGCATTGCTGATTAGAAAGAATCAAGCTTTATATTCTAGGACCCATTCACGCTGGTGAAAACATAGTCAGTTTTGATTATGAAGGCAGAGATGCAGACCTAGACAGGAGCTACATGCTGATATGCATGCTATCAGAATGATTTATGCAAATTATGCATATTATTCCCAAAGGAATTCCTCCTCAAACTGCCAGGATAAATTGCCGGAAATTAGCCATAAAATCTGTCGTGCTAGGAGCAAAAGGTGAAGGCCACTGGGAAAGCAAGGACATTCAGCTTCTGGAATCTTCCAGGTTATGATGGTGGCTGTTATTTTCCCTGGATGCAGGAGAAATAGGGTTTTCTTCTGAATCTTATAAAAGTATTTTTCCTTTGAAATTTTTCCAACAAATGCTGACTCACATTTTATTTACAGCTAGCATAAAAGAATTTAAGTGTTAAGCTGTCTCAGAAAGCACCACTACAATCACTTTACTATTAACTGCCTAAGTGGTTATTAAATGTCTCAGCCTGGCTTTAAAGGCATAGCTGTCCTGAAGGTTGGTGAAATAACCCACCAGCAGTTTTTTAACTGGGATATGGTTTTAATTTACAGTGGGTATACCTGTAACACAACATTTCTCTCTTGCAAACTCTTCTTTCCTTCAAAAATCCTAACCAATGACTTTCTGCCCAAGCACAGCACTGTTGCTCCTTGTCTGTGAAATGCCAAAGCCACAGCTGTCTCACCCGTCCCCTTCACTCTGGTCAGGCCAAAGCCACCATCTCGGCGCTCAGTGGATCTGATTAGGAAAACTAATGGGGTAAACTGTGGGCCCTCCCCTGGAGCTATCATAGTGTAAGAAGCTATTGCTTGTTTTCCTTCAGAAAGTGCCATTCTCGAGGCTTTACGACTAAGTTCATTTTCGTCCATCATGCGTTCTGTCCAAGAGGATTTGACTCTACCTTCAGAGACCCAGGACTACCTTCTGCGCAAGGGGGACCTGTTAGCCATCTTTCCTCCAGCCATGCACTATGACCCTGAAGTCTTTGAAGCTCCAGAGGTAAAGAAATGTTGAACTGGTCACTGCTACTTCTTAGACATTGCAAGCACATTCCTCTTCCTCATGAGCTCTTTCTACCTCTCCCTTTTACCACCTTGTTTCAGATAGGATTTGAGACAGTTTGATGACTTCTGTTTTTCCTCCAATGGAAAAATGTTCCTATTTACTCAAGTGTTTTTTAAGGATCTCTTCTTCAAAGTTTTTGTGACCCATAAATAGGAATACAGTAATGAGACTCAATGCTAGTTTCTTCCAATGAAATGGGCATTGTACCTAGGCCACCATTACCTGTAGGGCATAAATAGGTTTCGCTTTGCAGAGAATTACTGAAAACCACAAAAGGCAAGCTATTGACAGGAGGCTTAAAGGATAAATAACGATGACAATTTGCTAAGTGTTTCCATAACGGGGTTTATATCCCAAAGTCAAATACCATCATGGTTATAGTTAAGCCCGTATACTTTTTCACATTTTACTGAAGATATATGCTCCTTCTTGAGCAGTTAGGATGGCATTATGAACTTGAGACTGTAAAGCTGCTGTTCACAGGTGAAGCTCTGAGGGTAATTGTGTCATCTCCTTGTATTTTTTTCCCCCAAAGCTGGAGTTAATGAATATCAAAGATTGGAAATTAATCCACCCTGGCTCATCCCTTAATACCATTTCAGAGGTTCACCACCTGCATGCAAATTGAATGCAGTCATATTCTGCCTGTGTATCTCATGAAGTAATGCTGTTGCTGCAGTGGTTCTTGTATATAAAATGCTAGTTTTCAAAGGGAATTTCTGTGCTCTTTTTGAGCAGTTCTTAAGATGGACCACTTTTAAATCCAGTTTCTTAAGTGAGACGTCATGCAGCCAGCCTGGATTAAAATATTGTTGAATTTTGGAAACTAATAAGAAGAAGACAGCTTCAAATATGATGAGATAATTTGTAGTGATTTCATCAGCAAGGCAAAATTTTTTAGGCTAGGGAGAATATACCTATGGTTTCTGTGTGTTTCAGAAGAAGGGGCATTAAATGAATGATGATAGCAAGTTGGAAGTGAGGTGTGAGTGAGCACGTGGAGCATTTCCCAGACAACAAGCTTTATTTCCACATTGGTAAATATCAAAATCTTCATACCCAGGGAAGTCAATAAATAGGGAAAATAAATAATTAATATTTGAAAAATATTTTTAAATTGCTTTATTTTTAGTTACAATTTTAATGCATTTAACAGTATTACTTTCATTATATGATCATTCCAATAGTTATTAAATTTACTATTTATGTCACAATAATAAAATCAACAAATACTCAATAAATGTTTGCCAAACCACCACTGTTTTTGTGGTCCTGTTCTTTGGGTTCCTTCCATCCTCCATCCCTGACCCTGCCCCAGTGATAAAAAGGACCATAAATTAGACTTTTAGGAATTTAAAAATCAAAGTTAAATATTGAAAGTGTGCTGATTTATGTTTATATTCAATTATTTCTATAGAATATTAACTAGCAATGCCAAACTTCACGTAACAAATTGATCAAACTTCATAATAATCAGAAGGGTTGGCCTCATGCTCAACCTGTGGAAGATCAAAATCGCAGTATTGTGAATGCTGACTTAGCATCACTGGGGTAGCTCTAAGTTAAATTGATAAGCACTCTCTATTATTTACTGGACTTAACATTAGTCAATTATGCCTGACTAATGTTAAAATTAACTAGCTAATTCTTTGTCATGGTATTGTTTTCTTGAAATTAGTTGTGGAATTCTAATAATTATAGTTCAGAACCATTTTTATATGATTTGGCAAGGTCCTCTGTAATCATTCTGTAAACATTTACTAAGCATTAACCACCGTCAGGCATATAAATTGATTCCTTTTGTTCTTCACAACTTAGGATGGCGATAAGATGCTATAGATGCTCATACAACAGATGCCCATCCAAAAACAACAATACACTGACAGTAAAGAAGGCCAATCTGTCCTTGACCATTTGTTGCTAAGAGCCCTTGCCCAGGAGCTCATCAGGGGCCCATATTTCCCCTTTCCTTTCTTTCGTACACTATACCTTGAATGGAAAGACCAGGCCTTAGATATAGAAAACAGGCAATTGTTGTTGGATCAAAAACATGAGGAAGACTAACTCCAGATAAGTAGTTATTCTCAGAGCACAAAGACACTGACGAGCCTTAGCAGCACATAGGTTCTCCCAACCCAACGAGGCATGGTTTCAGGATGTTCAAGTTCCAGAGACCCTAGAATATTACATTACAAAAACAGGCCATGGTTTTCCTTCACATGTCTCTCTGTTCCTGAATGTTTCTCCCAAGAATCATTCCTAATTACCTCTTCTTTGACAGAGTCCCTGATTCCCACTTTATTCCTACAGAATTCGCCATCGCCCACTCTGTGCCCTATGTGTGTACCTTTTATTTATTTCTTATTATGGTCCACACCACATGGTATTTTGTGATTACTTGTTTACTTGTCTGTGCTTCCATATGCTACAAGCTTAGTGCCCAGCACACAGTGGGGTGTCCATAGGCAGTGAATAAACAAGGGGATACTGGGATGGATGAGTGTACTGAAAGTGAAAATATACCCCAGTTAAAATTTTAAATCACCCCAGATATTGCACACTCAAATCTATACTGGGCCTGAATGGATGAAGTGGCTTGTATGTAAATAGAGCAATACTACCTGGAGGAGTGGGAAGTGTGGCAAAAGGAGAACCTGGGAGTCATCTTAATGAGACCATTTGGCTACTTTCGAGCTAACCCTCAGATCTTATAAGCATGCAGGCCTGGTATGGCCAAGTCATTTTCTTTTTAACTCAAAAAACAAGATTTCTAAGTGAAGCTTAGAATAGAATTTTCAGATGTTTGGAAAAATAAAGTTTAAAACACAATGTTGGCTAAACAAGAAGTGTTGGTGAACCTACCTGAATCTATATGCTACCAACATGTAACCTCTGTGTTGAGAATTATTTTCCTGAATATTTGTTGCTTAGCTGATTGTGATGTAGCTGCTCAGGTGGTTCTTGTGTGTGTGAGGAAACAAATTGACAAATAACATTTAAAACACTGAGAGAGGGCAAAGAAAACACCCCTTCCCAATTCTTTCTTCCTGTTTCTGTTGGTCTAAATGCTATCCAAGAATATCTAGATATATTAGCTAGGAATGGATAGCTCTTTAAATTTTTCTGAAGGCTTCCTCAGATTTACATCTATTACCAGACAGAATTCAAGCACTGGCTCTCAAAAGAATTGGTAAATAGTGATGATTTCTTTTGTGACAAAATGCAAGACTGGAACTGTGGAAAAGATCACATCTCTTGGGTGTTCTTTCTATGGCCAGAAGCGTTAAGGCATAAAAGGAGGCCTGGGGAGGTCCATATGGAAGAAACAGCAAACATTTAAGATGATAACAGATTATCATAACCATGTAACCTCCTAAAGTAAGAAAACAGTGAAACCACACAGTAATTATAAAGCCATTGAGGTACCCACTAAGCTCTGAAATTCAAAGGCCTCTAAATAATTATTGTGTGTATCTCAAACTAAAAGAGATTGTGCCCCTACTATACTTCAAGGAAACAAATGCATAGTGCATCTCTACTATCCAGAAGGCACTTTGATGGGCATAATGGGTGACACAGAAATAAAAAAGGCCTCTGTCCCTAAGAGCTTATGGTTTAGGGGCTTGGCCTTATCACATGGCTGTCTCATAGCCAGATGCTTCATGTTGACAGGGTTTCTGCCATACCAGTAAACTGCTACACCTGCTATGCTGGAACCAGCTGCTAGATCAGCACTCTGAAAAGCCCTGAGTTTGTCGGTTTTCATAGTATAAATACTCCCACCTTGGCTGATTTAATGTAACCAACCGGAAGGCCCTAAACATGGAGTTGAAAAGAGATAAGCACACGTGTTTGGGCTAGCACAAGCTAGTTGCAGCACACCACTGGTTGGAACCTAAGTTGTGGAGATTGAAAGGGACTTCTGTCATCTGTCATCTTGCTCCCAGGAGGATTGACTGTAAATCAGGGGCAAGAGTGCAGCCCCTCAGTCATCCATTCAAAACAATGACATTTTTTATTTCTAGGAGGTCATATCTTTTGTCTAATCTAGAGTCCTATACTCAAATGATGAACTGAGTGAATACAAGACCTGATCGTACTGTATGTCATCTGCCTCAATAAGACCGTGTTTATGCCTTTTTAACTTCAATGCTTCACATAGAGGAAGTACTTTAAAAATCTGTTGAATGAACTAAACATAATATTTGGAGAACACAAATTAGGGTGTTATACAATGTTCCTCAGTCACTTATACCAAAAATTCTTCTCTATTCAGAAAAGTGAATCATCTATCCAGTGTTGATTTGTAGTGCTAAATAGTATACCATTTTCCCCTTGTAAACACTGAATATTCATCTGCTCTTCATTCTCTACATGTTTATTTACTTATTCAATATCTCTATTTTTTCAAAAGCTTGAAGATTGCTTTTAAAATATACTTTATTGTCATGTATTTATTCATTAATTCAACAAACATATATGGAACCTCTACTATGTGTATAGCACTCTGTTGGGTGCTTAAAAAATGCAGAGATAAATAAGACAGTGTGACAGCTCCAATCTCCTGGGATTTCTTGGCTCTACCATTTCCTGTGGGTTAGCCCTGTCTCCACCCTGTGACAGGAAAGCCACAGCAGTTGCAAGCATCATTTTCACATAAAAGTGGGTCCAGAGGGGAATGGGCGATGACCATTTGTGTTTGTCTGTTTGTTTGTTTTTGTTCAAAAGAAGGGAACTTCGCCCAGATGTCCGCACAGACTTTTCCCCCGTAGCACTAATGAGATTGGTTCACACACCCTTTCCTAAATCAGTAAGAGGCCAGAGCGATGTGATTACCACCATTGGAGCCTAGACAAATCTTACGCAGAAGAAAGATGTTGAGGAGTCATCTACGACCATTGTTAGAGGGACAATGGGGAATTTCAATGTCTTACCCTTTCTCTTATGATTTCTTTATTCTTATCCATTTAATAATATTGCATTCAACTGACTCATTTTAATTACGAAACACTGAGCTATTATGGTTATAGGAATTTAAGTCAACATGATGAATCCTGTGTTTAAGTTGTCCCAGATGAATGTGTGCATCTTGAGCTTTCTAACGCTTTGTTCTTTGACACTGTAACCTCCAAATCTCAGGAATGAGACTATTATACTCCTCTTTATGGCTAAAGCCAGGCTATATCCCTTGCAGCTGCTACAAGCTTTTCCTAATATTAGTTCCTGCTCTAGTTCCCCTGGCAATAGAAAACAAACTGAAAATAAAATTCTACTAAAATAAATATATTTTATGCCTATGTGCCCTTTGACCTTGATAATGGTCTCAGAGCAAAAGAAGGGAGCCTCTTCCCTTTTTGTTTCATAATATATTTAGCTAAACAGGAATTTCTAAGATATTTAGTATGAGGATATTGGATAGAATGTGATGAAAAAGTAGAGGAGTGACATTCCTATGGACTAGAAATTTGAAGGAGCTGAATGTAAACACTAACTAAGGTCACACCGTACAGTAATTCTATCTCCAGTAACAAAATGTATGTCAACAAAGAGTATTCTTATTCGTAGGATGAAGAGATAGTTTTAGTTTAGAACTGATTAGATTCTATTTAAATACATCCCAGAAGTTTCTCTGTGGGAAAATACACTTGTATTCTAATGCAGATTAATTTGTCATTTTGATTGCATCAACTTACAAGTTGGAGGGGAATAGAAGCTACCGAAGTGTGTTTTCTAAGCTTGAGTATTTATCAAAATACATATCCTAGATAAATGAGGATAAATCCAGTTCCTTTAAAGGAAATGATTTTGCCGACATTAATAGTGGCATGAAGTGAGACAATTAGATCATTTATGATGAATTCAGAATCCATCCAGGTATTGTAGGGTTTTCTCTATAACCTGAAATGCTTTTCATCTGACCTGCTTCTTTTGCCTTTGACACTATGTAGTTCATATCCAAGTTGTGTGCTGAGCAGGTCTAATGCTAATGAGCACCAAGCACAGGAAATACTTGGTCATTTTCATGCATACCACGTGTTAATTTAATCAATGGTTTAATTCACCATGGGCTGAAATAAGGTCACTCAGTCTCCTCTTGGAAACTCAAGTGAGAATAAATTAAGATGGTGGGCCAAACACCCGAGATGAACCAGTCCCATTGTTTTCTGTAACAAGTAATAGAACTTACTTATGAAAACATATCAGAAACACCTGCCACCCTAGAGTTAACCCAAAGAGAGTTCATTCTAATAGAACTGTGATAGGAGAAATTCAGTCCACCATCAAAAAACAAGCAAGATCGATTTTGTGGCTTCGCTCCTCTCTAGTGCTTTATGTGAATTTTATTATTTTATATCTATTGAATCCAAACATAAACATTGAACCCTAAGCTCATAGTTCTCATCCTTTTGTAGCTGGCTGGGGAGGAATAGGAAAAAATAATATTATGGATCCTCAGTTAGCAGCTCCTATTCATTATTCCAGTAACAATGGCGGCAGTGCCAGAGCCCTGACCTTCCCACCCAACATCAGTCCATCAAGCGCCCGGAAGTCAGGGCCCATCTTCAAGAACAAAAATAGCGATACTGCCTCTACACATAGGAGAGAAATGTGAATGGGGAGGGAGAGTCATGTAGGTGTTTGGATTCCACTTCATATGGGGGAAGTAATTTCTTCACAGATGTTGAGTTTTATGAAAGTTTATACATGATTTACATTTAGTTTTACATTCTTAAAAGAAGTCTTCTAAGACAGGCAGGGGGAGCTAGCAACTTTGTGGACGTGGACTCAAAATATTTCATGTAAATTTTTTAACACTCTCTATCTCTTTCCCCACAGGAGTATAGATTTGACCGTTTTGTAGAAAACGGTAAGAAGAAAACCACCTTTTTCAAAAGAGGTAAAAGGCTGAAGTATTACATACTGCCATTTGGACTAGGAAACAGCAAATGCCCAGGCCGATTTTTGGCAATTAATGAAATTAAACAATTGTTAGTTGTACTTTTAACTTATTCTGATTTAGAAATAGTAGATGATAAACCTGTACAACTAGACTATAGCCGCTTCTTGTTTGGTATTCAGTACCCAAATTCTGATGTTTTATTTAGATACAAAGCCAGATCTTAAAGAAGCTGAAAGGAAAAAAGTAAGATCTATTGAAACTAACCTAAAGGTCCTCAGCTCATCTATTTGTTTTTGATTTCTGCAAGTGTAATTGCTTTGTTTCTTTTGTTTTAAAAAGCACCAATTTTTATTTGATTTGAGATCAGTCCTGTTTGTACTTGGTCAGAAAGTAAAACAGGATGGTGGCATGAAGATAAACATTAGAATCAATATAATAATAAACTTAACAGTGGTTTTAAGTTTTTGCATAGTGTGACTTTTCACCTGTGATTGTAAATAGGCAGCAATAGATTTGGCACTGTGAGATTTTTAAAAGTCACTCAAATTCATCTCTACTATGTAAATACACACTTTATGTACTTTTGGAAATTTGTGCTGGAAATTGACACAGTCAAACAACTTCGAAATTCGCCGAGAAGGAAATTAAGTTTTCATGAAAAAGACTGGAAGAAAATATCCCCTTCAAGTATAATATCAATAATATCCATATCACCATGGTATGTTTGCATTAAATGAGTTTTGCAGTAGATTAAATACTTCAACATCAATATTTAGTTATCCATAAATGCTCTTTACTTTGATACTATAGCTCAATAGAACACAATTTCTTATGATATAAAACCACTCATGTTCAAGTTAGATAAGATTTAATGTGCACAAATACACAAAACCTATTATATATTCAGCAATTGCCCTAGACATTAGAATTAGGTATTGTGGAAGCAAATGTTGAAATCATTGCAGGATTGATTGTAGGATTTGGCTTGAGTATAAACTATAAGTTATTCCAGTTTTGCAATTAAGTCTTTCCTAAATGCTTCTATTTATATAAACTGAGAAACTAGATAGAAGTATTTGTTCTTGATGCCTCATCTTTTGGACTTAGAATTTGCTTCATTTTGAATTACAACATTACGTAATGGAGTATAATTTTATACGCTACAATGCAGCATTGTGTCCATGACTCAAAGACTTCTAACACCAGATTACGAAGTGATTGTCTGGAATCTGATACAATGATGATGCTCTATCTAGAGGCAAAACAGGTGGTAAAACCCAGACAATTCATGCTGCATTAATTGGAACTTCTAATATTTTAGAAATGTGCTATTGTTTTTAAAAGGAAATTGATTTTTAATAACATTATAAAATACTCACCATACTTAATCATAAAATAGATTATCTAGCATTTATTTTCTCCTTCCTGAAATACATGCTCTAAGAGTTCCTTGTGAAGGTCTTCTGATCTAAACTGTTTTTGCTTGATAAAGATGTTTTCTTTTTTGTCCTCATTCTGGAAATACGATTTCAGTAGGTGCCCACGTCTAGAATGAGAATTATTTCCTCACAGCACTTCGAAGATATTGAATCTTCCTAAGGCTTCTATCACTTTTTTCAAGAGCTTAGCCCTTTATCAATTTAATTATTCAGTAGGTAGTCTGCCTCTTCTTTCTGACAGCTTTAACATAGTCTCTTTGTCTTTGATGTTCTTTGTTTCTATTTGTCATTCTTGTGATTCTTAAATCTGAGAATGTATGTCTTTCATTAAGTACGAAGTATTCTCAGCCATTATCTCTTTGAATAGTGCCTCTCTCTGGCTCTCTGTTAGATCCTCTCACTCTATATTCAATGTTGTTTGAACTTTTCTCCCCATATTTTATATTTCTAATTTAAATTCTTGGTTATTTCCTTAGATCGCTGTTCTAGTTTTTTTTTTTCCTTTACAGTGTATGTATCAAATCTCCTCTTTATCTATTGAATTTATTCCTTCCTTCTGGTTTTACTTTAACCCCAGGTTGATAGGATTGAGTGATCATACTCCTTACACCTGTTAGTTCATGGTACACAATTATAGTTGGTCCAAGCAAAGCTCCTCTGGCTTTATTTACTTATTCTATTTTATGCCTAACCTCTACCTTCATACCCTCCCCATTGTAGGCAAACATTCTAATATGTTTTATGTTTATCTTTTTATAAAACATGTATTATTATCTTGGGTGTATATTTTGATATACATAAATGTATTTTCTATAAACCAGATCCTTCTTAATTCAGTATTCCATAATGTGTACCCACCATGTTTTAATAATCTATTTACCCAGGAAACTGTTGGTGGTTCAGTTACTGTGAGGGAGAGGCCAAAGCCCAATCTACCCCCACTGATCTTCCCACTGCTGTGAACAGCCTCCCTCCACCCTGGGTTGCTGCAAACCCTGTCCTCAGCCCGGGTACCACAAACACACACACATGCCCAACTTGGGCCCTAAGCTTTATCTCCTGTCTGTCACAAAGCATGGCCCAGGCATTTTGTATCAGGACGTTGCATCCGCCATATTACCTGAAGTAGAAACCTTCAGATTCTTAACTTCATCTTTGTAGTACACTTCTGTAATGTTTCAGCAAAGAGACTACAGAAGATTATTCCATTCTAATTTCTGCTTGATGTATAATTAGAAGTATGTACAAGAATTTAGAAAAGAAAGAATAAAGTAAATGGTTGAGAAAATATTATACAAAAACAATGGACAGGAGAACCAAAACGAGAGTCTTCTGACAAGCTTAAACCTAGTAATTAAAAAGTGTTCATAAATAGAAAAAATGCCATGGTGAAATAAGTTAAAAGACATGGTTTCTAGCTGTGACATAACTGGTTTGTTATTATCAACAAGTCACTTTTCTTGTCAGTGCTTCAGCTTCTTTATTTGCAAAATAAAAATAACAAGGCCTATTTGACACCAGGGTTCATCATGAGGATTAAACACCGTAAGATGTGTGAACTTATTATGAAAAGTGTAATGCAATACGTAAACATAAAGTTGTAAAAGAGATACTTTAACAATGTCTGCCTTTTAAAAACTTATGTATTTGTAAAAGGGAATGGAATAATGTTTGTCATTAGTTAATTCATTAATTGTTTGTCTGATCAAACTTTTATTGGGCATTTCCTCTGTTCTAGATATGTCATGCACTGGTTTACCTTTCCTCAAAAACACACAATTAGGGAAAACAACATATTCACAACTAGTTTGTTATAAATGTAGTTGTAAGTAATAAATTTATCTTTTTAAAACTATTCCAAAATTCTGATTTATCACTAGTTCTGACTAACCTTCTTCCATTCATTCCACAGTAGTGTTTTGTAATGGGAAATTACTATATGCATCATCACTCGCAATAAAACATATATAGCAGATATTGTGACTGTATGGTAAAAATAACCAAAACCAAATACATCCATTAAGGCTCCAGAATTTTTTTCAAACTTGTTCACAATTTTACATATTATAAAAACCCATCTTTTCATTTGTAAGTCTCCCCCCTAAGATTCAAAATAAAGGAAATGAATAACTAATAATGTTGTTTGATATCAATGACCAACAGCAATGATACATTCAGTTAGCAAAAATTAATGCTCTGAAGGTATTAAGATAAAAGCTGTTTATCGCTAAGTAAGACATGTGATAAGCAACCCATATGGGGAGTTTTATCTGCCTTGCTTTGGTTTTCCTGATACAGTTCATTATATCTTCTCCATTTTATCATTAAGTTTTGGGTCATGAGTCTAAGGCAAAAAAGCTTCCCAACTCAATTTGGGTAACTTTTCCTATAAGCATCTTCTAATTTAACAGTGGAATCTTAAAACCAATTTCAAAGATCAAAGCTAAAATTATCTAGGTTTTGATCATAGTGTGAAATATAATGTTCAGTAATTATAAAACAAGAATTATATGCCAGTAGAATGTGCCCTGTTTTAACCTATTAAATTTGCCAACGTTGCAAACTATTATTTACTTGAACTGCATTATTAGGTATTCATATTCACATACTCAATTAAGAAAAAGTTAGCAAGCCAAGATTACATTCCCTGTAGCATTATTTTAAATTATAATGAGCAATCACATAAAACTCTCTGGTATTTCTCTAAAGCAATTATTACTTATTCTACTTCCTAGTGTTAATCTAAATCAGTGATCATTGATGTTTGAACTTTTTAGCTTTAAATGTTTATTCTGTTTATAATACCTTCTTGAGTAAGACAAATTTAATTCATGAAAAGCTCTGCTACATAATTTTAAATAGAAGATAATTTGGCAATACTTATGTTTAAAAAAAATTTGTTAGGTAGAGGAATGCTGTATGTTATAAAGAACTGTTGTCCTGAATCTGTTTAATATTATCTTTTGATTTTAAAATGGTCCATATGTGGATTTATGAGGAAGCATATTATCTTAAGATTCTAGGTAAGAGAAATGTTTTGTATATCTATTTAATTTTATTTACAAAGTGAATTCAATAAATCAATTTTTAAAGCACAGATGAATGGCCATGTCCTCTTATTTCCCTATGAGGAACACGTTAGTTTTGATTACAAGTAGCAAGTGATTTCGCAAATAATTTTGCCATCTGAATAGCCCTACATCCTCATGACCTCCACACACACGCATATACATATATTTTTATTTTCTGATATTATCCTTAAAAGCATACTAATTGTTACATTCAGAGAATTTTTCAATATATGTTAGCTTAATTGTTTGTGTGGAAAGTAAACAGAGATCTAGAAAATATTAGTGACTAATAAGCTATCTATTTATTTATTTAGATTGACTTTAGGGAGACAGAGAGGGGGAGACATCGAATTGTCGTTCCACTTATTATGCATTCAGTAGTTGATTCCTGTATATGCCCGCACCAAAGACCGAACCCACGACTTTGGCATATCGGGGCGATGCTCTAACCAACTGAGCTACCTGGCCAGGGCCATAATAAGCTTTTCAATAAGTTTATTTTAGCCAGACTGACCTTGCTTGGCTGCAGTTCTTAATAATTTTTATTATTCTGTGGAAATACATATAAGAACAACAAGAAATAGGAAATTCCCATTAGATGTGGTCCTTGTCCTTTGTGGATCACTTTACCACAAATAATGAATAAAACAATAATACTTGGACAGTATTTATTTATTTATAAGGCTGAAATTCAAACTGTAAAAGTTTGAAACATACAATGCAGAATGCTGTTGATGAAAAAGAAATGTAGCTCCTTCAGTAAACTGGACATACACCATTTCACTGGGATACTTAGCTCTTCCAAGAAATACTCCTGTGAGTCATTAAGGTTTGAGGGGAACTCACCTTAGCCTCTGAAGGAGTTCATGTGCATTTGAACTAGTCAGTTCAGAATTGTTTAACAATCAGGATAAGTTATGTCCTTAAATGGACAATCTATGGACAATCTATAATTATCTTTGTTATCAATTTTACTCTAAAAAGCATTTATTGAGTAAACAATTTTATCGTTTTGAAAAAAATGGTAGTTTTTTCAGATTTATCTGGAATTAGCCATGATCATGTGAGTAACTATGTGCATATTCCATTCAGGATATAGCTGGGTAGAGAAAATACACATGGTAATGCTAGATAATTTTAAGCATTTGATACAGTTTATTGTTAATTATTTGAGGTATAGTTTCTGTTCTCGATGTCTAAATGTAGTCTTTTTTTATAAGAACATGATATATTGCAGAGCTACACAGAAAGTAAGTGTTTTAGATAGCATTTTATTTCCCTTACAACATTTTATGCTTATAGGAGAAACTAGAGGGAATATAAGTAACAGGTAAAGGTACTAATATCTAATGATTCATCACTGAGTCAAATTTAAACACTTAAAAATATAAAGTGTGTAATAGTTGGAAATGTATTTAATTTGCAAGACAATATTTAGCCCATATTTTGTTTCTAAGAACTAGCCATTGTAATTAACATAAAACATATGTTATTATGTGTGAAAACCCACTTTTTTAAATAAATGCTTTGATTGCATGTTTAAATTAATATTTAAATGAAATGCACTTTTATTCCATAACTTCTAAGAACTGGCCAATATACTTAAAGTTTTATAAATGCTTTGTTTTATACTTTAAATGAAACATTTAAATATTTGAAATCACTTTTGAATTTTTAATGAATCTAAAAGTTTACAGGAAGTAATATTTTCTTTGTGTTTTGAAGTTAGGTATTAATTTTAAATATCTTTTATTTTGAACCAGTTTTAGACTCACAGAAAAACTATAAAATAATACTTATTTTTAAAGAAGAAAGTCCTCACAGTAATAATGCTTGCAAAAAGTTTAACTAAAGAATGGTCCTAAGACTTAGCCAGGGAAGATCTTAGTTCATCTTTGACCTTTGGTGATGGTCCTCCACAAAACTACCTTAAAGGACGATAGACTGGAAATAGCAACCGACTGGCAGAAGTAGTTTGAGTATGCATGCCACTCAGGCCCTCCATAGTTCAAAGAAATGTTTTGTTTTCATTAAATATTTTTCCTAAATTATAAAAAGAGCCTGCTTTGTTGAGTAATTCCAGGCTTCACTTAATCTTATTCTCTTAAGTAATCTATGCTTTAAAGATATGCATGGCCAATCCTTCTCCAAAAGAAAATTTAGTTATTCCCTGGCCCTGCTTCCTGATTTCCTTTTCTCCTTCATGGTTCTTCACGTTTGTGTTAGACGCCTGGTTAGGAAAATCTTTTTTATTTTTTTGTTATTTATTTTTTTAAATAGAAGTCTCGGAGGGAGGGCATAGGCTCAGCCTGGCATAGCTCTGCAGGAAGACTGTACCTGGCAAATGTAGCTGTACTTACTTGAAGAGATAATGCATGAGCTAATGTTTTAACCAGTTAGGAAAATACTTGGAGGCTCTCCCATAATAAAGTATTGTTTGTCTTCTCTTTTCAAAGAGTAAATAAAAAATATTTATCAAAGAGGTCCTCATACCAAGTTCTTCAGTAATTGCCAGAGCAGATAAATGCATAAAATGAGGTTAGGCCATGAAGCACTTTTATGTTTAAATCTAAATTCTCATCTCTAAACATCTCTATTAACATAGCAGATTTGAGTTGCAACCATCCTCCTAATAAAATATGAAATCTTTTAATATTGCCAAGCATTTGTAAATAATGGATCCTTTAAATATCCCTGAACTTTATTCTAAAACTTATAAGGAGAAATAATAATTGCTTTATATAACCACTGATACCATTTTAGCATTTGATGAAGATGTTAATTTATGGTTGGTTAGCAGTTTATGGCTGTCATTAGTTTCTCAGTTTGATTCACATTAGAAATCTATTTTTCTTTTTTATTTTAATCTGAGACAATTATATAAAGATATGGTTATGTTTTATCTAAAATGTATCATTCTACTATAGCATTTCAAATTATTCACAGATCATAGTTCTTATATGTGCATATATGAATTTAAAAAATACAGCAATAAAATGCTTGAAACAGATCATAAATTCGCTTCATATTTTATTGCATCTCAGAATCAGGTTGAGACGACAAGGGCAACTATGGTCTTTGGGAAAGAATTAACTCTTTCCCAAACTGGGAAGGAGAATGGTATCACAGTGTGCATGATTAAAGCCAACTCCCCCATCAAAGCATTCTGGTGACTTGTAGGATAGGCTTGTCCGTCATATGTTGGGAGGAGGGGAGTGAGGATAACTGCAAACCCCTCTTTTCCTTTGCAGTCTAACCTTCCCACACAGTCATTTCTCTTCCAGAGCTTTCTCATCTGTATTTCTCTATGGCCCAAATTAGAGAACACAGAGGAAGGAAAAGGAAGAAATTCGCACAAGCACAAGAACACTCACTCAGGGGTACTAGGTAATTTTGCAGTAGTCCAGAAGGCAACTGCATCATGTTAAGACGAGTAATTTAGGGAAAGTGGTAGAGTTTAACCCAAGTCAAGTCTCAGGGAAAATAAGCAGTTTCTCTGCCTTGCTACGAAGAAAAGAGATCTTGGGGGGTTAAATCTGGGCCACTTTTGCAGAATTTCTTAGTGGGGCGCAGCTGCGGGGTCCTCTTGGCAAGCCTGGCGTCTGAACGTGAGCCCACCAGGCCACGGGGGTGCAGGGGACAACCCGATCCTAGTGCCTGCCACCTCTCCAAAGAGTTTGAGGGGAGTTCCTCAAGTTCTCTTTTTGTCCCAAGGGGCTTGGAGCTTGCATGGCTTTGCTCCTGCAGGATGGACCGGGGACACTAGTCCAGGGGAAACTCGGGAAGAAGCGGCAGTCCGCGGCTGCGGATTCTGAGACCCTCCCCGGGTTCAGCGCGAGCTGAGCAGCGCTGTAGGCGCGCTCGTTGTGGACGTCGTTCTGTCTGCAAACTTGGGCGGGCTGATCTGCGGGAAAACCACCCCTCCCTTTCTTCTGCCCTCCCAGGTCCACCAGCACAAACACTGACCCTAGCCCTGGGGCGAATCAAACACCTGGTGTTCCGCACAGCCTCCAGAACCCTGGTTCTAGAAAACACGTATCAATCGCTCAAAAGAGCCAGAGACTACGCGAGGAGGAAAGGACTTAACTCGAGGGTTGCTTTTACTCTTAAACTTCAGTTATTGTCTCCTCGTTTTCCCTCTTCTTCCTCTCCTACCATCTAGGGTGCTCAATGCCTGATTTAAAAAGACCAAATTTAAATCAACCTGCGGCTCATTGACTTGGCAATCCAGGGGCCTCCGAGTTATAAATGCCAACACAGAGCGCGCAGGAAACGGGCTCATTTATTTTGCCCACACACAAAAAATGTTAATTGATGTAAAGTTGTGTGGCACGTGGATAATTTAGTCTGACCCACATTTTAATTAAAAGAAAACTTATGTATGTTCCTGACGTTTATCTTTTGCAATTTAATTTTGTTTACAGGCGCCGTTGTGTAGTTGACGCCCCTCCGCCCTCAACCCACATTTCATTAAAGGTTTTACTAAGGAGACTCGCCTGACCAGGATTCATTACCTCCTGCCTTCCATGGGCACCCTTAAGGGTCTCCACTCGCTTGTCCGCTCCACCCGGCAGAGTCGCCACAATGTGCTGTGAGCCGGGAAGTGAACTCTCATCATTATTTTTCAAAGTCTGGGAAGTGTATTATCCTTTTTTCCTAGTGGTAATTAGTTACCATAGCATCTAATACGTAAATGTGCCCAGAGCACACCATTAACAGTTAAACGGAGGATTCAATTTAACACATGATTATATCTTTCATAAGTCATTACATTGGAAAAGTCAATGCCACTCATGCTGGAACAATCTCCAGGTCCGGGGCGCACATACAAAGGTTCGGTTCTGGCGTCCGAGACCAAGGGCGCGTAGAGAAGGGAAGCCAATGGGACTGCCCCGACCCTCCTACCCCGCCCCCACCCCCCACCCAGTGAGCTGTTGGCAGTCAAGATGGGTGGTGGATGGGGTTGAAGGGAGAACAATTTAAGCTCAGTACAGGGTCTTGGAGAGGAAACCCAGCTGCG